TTATTTTCATATTTGTGGAAATCTTGGTTCAATTTTAGTTTTGAGAATGAGATATGAGAGAAGGGAGAGACGAGAAGTGTAGACGGCAGAGTGAAAGGGAGGGGAGCGCACGTAGGGTTTCTCTAGGTCTAGGTGTTCATGGGCTTTTTCTTAAGGAAGTCCATTAGCCTAATGCCTTGGGTCTCCTCTCCCCATTTGCCATAGCCCATAGCCATAAAAACACAATGTTTTTTTTTTTTTTTTTACTTTTTACCATCCCTCTTCTTCCTATAAGATTTTAAATTATTTGAACGACAGACCACTCTCCATTTGCAGCCCCTACCTAGCTAGCCCCCACTTCAATCCATTATATGAGTATTTAGTATTTATTCTTCAGTATTTCCGGTATAGTCCGGTATTACTCCGAAACGGTAGCTTTATTTTGCCGGCACGGTTTTTTGACAAAATATAAATATTATTATTACAAAAACGGTATTTACCGGCATGAAACGATTAAACCACGGTCGTACCACAAAATATCATACCAAAAAGAAATCCGGTATGATGTCTGGTACGGTTTCCTGAACCATGAAAAAATGTGAACTTGTTGAGTTTCGAACTTTTGACCTAACTCTCAAAATATGTTCCACAGTCCAGACATATTACCACTAAGCTGGACGCCTGACAATTGCTTCAAGAATAAACTGTTTTATTTTTAATCTCAAACTACCTTAATACGTAAATCGAATCGAATGTTATACGATCCTCCGCTAGGTTAATACCAAAAACCTATCTCTTGAAAAATGTTATGATGCTCAACTCCCATTGGAATTATCAACTTTTGAAAGTCATCTTTGCTCGTTTACATATTTTCCCCTAAGAGTCCTTAATACGAAACTAGGGTCAATAGACCGTGGTTTCGTTAGTCAAACTCTTTAACAATTATCAATAAATAGGTTGTTAAAGCAAAATATCAAAACCCTTTCCAAAAAAAAACTCAATCTCAAACATTAATACAATCAATAGAATGTGTTAAATTTCATATTTCAAGACGTTTCAATTTTATCGAACTACGTGGACTTTGATCCCGACTACTCGGGTACGTAGGCAACCAATAGGTTCGAGTCCAACTAACCAAAAACTCTTTCTTTAATTTTGAGAATTACGTCAATAGACGTATGATCAAATATTAATAACTATCTAATTAATCAAATCATTAAATTAAATACATTAATAAAGCCGCAAATAATAATACACCAAACCCTTAAAAACTTTTCTATTTAAGTAGTACCCATCCTGGGGCGTTGTGGGGTGTGAATACACTTCCCCACACGTAACTGTACTCCCGAACCCAAAATCTCAAAATTCGCAGACCAGATCCCGGTTTCGACCCTAAGGTCGAGACCGGACCAAAGGTGTTCGATCCACCACAAATTAAGGTCGATGGCGACTCCGATCGTTCGTGACGGGTACCCCGATCTCGGAGGGGCGGTTGCGACAGCGAGCCTCATTGAAATTACCGTAGAAGCAGTAAGGGATCTGCAAGGAAAAAGGAAGACGACGAGGAAGAAGAAGAGCGCTCTGGTTCGGAGTTTTGGAAGAGAGACGGTGGTTTTGGCTCTTAGGGTTTTACGCCACTTTCACAGGAGAAAAAAAGGGATATTTGTGTGTTCAAACTTATCACGAAGAATATTTTTTTCACGAAGAAAACAACATTATTCCTATGCATGAATTACCTTTACTCGACCCGTTGGTCAGTGAATTTTAGTTTTTGCATTTTTTATGTTAGTCAATTCCTTCATATTCTCAAATGATTTTGGAATTTTGTCAATAATTTATTGACAAATTTAAAATACTTTTTGTGTTACTTTGTTGATTGTAATACTTAGTTCATATATTTTTATTATTATTAGGTCATCCTTACATTAATGTTGTCTGTAGTTTTATTTCCAAGTTTCAGAAAATTTTTGCATTTCCTATTGTTGTCATAAATTGCTTAAAAGATATATCTTTTTAATATTTTGCATTACTAAGTTGCTTTGTACAACCACCACCAAAAAAAATCCCCAGCAACATCCAATCCAATATCGAAACCATTGCTAGTTGGAAGAGGTACAACAATCATACAACAATCTAGGAATAGTCATTGACCTACTTAATTAGTCGAAATATTTTGGGAACGCGAGTAATCAAAATTAAGCATGCAATACAATCAAGTCGAGAAAGATGAAAAATAAATGTGTCCAAAAACATTCCCAACCTACTCGTCGACAACTCTTAAATATATGGGTTCTCCCATAATCTAACTTGTGAATCTTATAGTTCCCAAATCCCAACACCGCAACTGTTATTCCCAACAGCGGTGTGGCGGCACTTCAAAGAGTAGCTAATGAGGCAATCTAATTAAACAACACTAAGTCACTAACAAAAGAAAAAAGATTGCCTAATTTTATGAATTCGGTCCAACCCTTTTGTATCAACCACGGGAAATGCCGAGAAAAGTACCAGTTATTGGTTCTCCAATATCTGCTCTTCATCACCAAAGGGCATCTTTGGGGCACCAGAAGTGTCTTAAGAAGGCTTATTGATTTTATCATGTTCCAACATTGTTTTGGATTATTCAAGAGACAAAGGAGAGCCCTTAGGGGAAGTCAAGCTGTGTACCTTTTACCACCACTATTTTGGGTATACTAACAGGATTAATTGTAAGAAACAACATATAAACCTTATTGCAAGTGGTTACTGGATCATAAAAATATGATCAGTTAGAGTGGAGCGGGAACTTTATACACATGAAGCAAAACCTACAGAATAATCTTTTCATGCTATGTCTCATTAGCGGAAGCAAGCATCTCATTTGCCTTCACACTTCACATATCAACCATAACAAAAAGAACTATTTGGAACAATAAGTAAGCACCTGAGATCACATCCAAAAGTACATGTAGAGATATCAATAACAAACAGACAGTTCCACATTACCACATGAAATTATTATCCCAAATAGACTACATATACAAAAGTTGATTTATGTATGTGAATTTGCTCTTAATGATAGAGGTACCAACCTAGTTGAAGCTAAAACCTACACCAATATATGTTTTTGTTTCCTTATCTTTTGCCTCTTCTCAAGCAATATCACCAAATGATAACCGCAACAGACTTCAGAACTTCATTTCGAAGTAAGCCAATGCAGATTTTAGTCAAGGATACAATTCTCTTCTAAGCTACAATAATAACAAACAAATAAATCAACTTCATCACTTCTTTGTTAAAACGATCTTCAATCAGTATCCCATCCACTCACCCTAGGCCAGGCCCGATGAATTGATTAGTGTGGCCAATTTCCTTCACTATATAAACATTTTAGAGATAGGAAAAGGAAAATTAATCACTCTCTATTTAAACATCATAACAGAAAAACAACAAACTCTACAACACATTTTACCTTCTGCAGATAACATCTAGGAACATGAAAGTTAGTTAGGCCACCCGTAAAAATAAGACTTCTTTACTACTCCATGTCTAGCCTTTAAGTGTTCAGGGGGCATGGTCCATATGATAAAGGGAATGGTGAATGAACCATTCTCATTAGCCCTTTCATATAACCTCTTTGCTGCAATAAGGCGAATGAAAGCAGTTAAGAGTCTGGAAAAAAACAAAACAGAAAATAAAAAGGCTTGCTGATATTGCATTATATGGACTAAAAGCAAAACAAAACCTACATCCACTGCAGAAGCAAAAAAAACAGCACCAGAGCATGTACTTGTCCCTCAATGGCTGCACTCTGTAAGAATGCCTGTAAGATAGTTTGATTGATTCAGAGTGTACGCAAGATCTCAAATAAGCAATAGCAGTCCTGCTAATGAATTCCTTAGGATACAGATGGATAGTTGAATCAGGTAAACACTAAACCACTTTTCAATTGCAATTAAGCTAAATAAAGCACATAACACAACAATAATTAGGCAGTATCATAAGAAACATGAAACCAAATGGATTGGTAAATCCAACCAAAACCGTAAACCCAAGACCATATTTACCTGTTATGGTAAAGTCGTCCCAAGTCTTGCTTCACTCCATTTCTAGCAAACTCCACATCCCAGGCAAAAAACAGTTCAGGTTTTCAGGGAAAAATATTCTTCTTTTAATGAAACAAATAACTAATGTATTTGCAGTTAGTTCTCCAGCACAAATCAATTGCGAGCATGAGGTTCAGGACTAACTCTAGAATGCGTAACAGGAATATCCATGGAAAACATATCAAGAGTCGCATAAATCTGGCACTCAACAATATGATTGAAAGCCATGAGAATCCAAAATCATATAGAGCTTGAAAGAATTTAAACCTGCATTATGTTTTGCTGATCACTCATAGGTTTTACTCACTCCAACTGAGCCTTATCATCATCATTTTGTTGCTCAATTGGCTCCGGTATTCTCTACTTGTATAGTTGTTTAGTTTCTGCAAGTGCTTTCTGGAGTGAATAGTTTTCTGCCTCGTGTTTCTACTTCAGAAAAATAGAATCCCAAAATTAGAGTTTTTTTCACAAATTTAACATCCAAAGCCTATATATGAGTGTCAAAGTAATTGGAAGTAGTAGAACTTCAAGTGACTTAAATGGAACATCAAAAGAAACTAAACAAAGCAATGAAGGACACCATCATATTAAGTCTTACATTGCAGAACAAATAAATGAAAACATAGATGGATATATGACTCTATGTTGTAAATAAAAAATTCCACCGGACCTAACAACAAACCCGAATTCACTTTTTGCAATCAGTTAGGAGCTAGTCAACTCTAATTGATCCTCAACCCGGAAAGTATGAGCCTGTACCTGACTAATTGATTGCCCAAATAACCTAGCCACCTGGTTTATTTCCCCACAAATTAAAACCCCATAATCAGGAGTCAAAAGGTTTTCAATTAGGGATACAATGTTAAAACCCATTTGGTAAATTACAATCCGGCTTAACTGCAGTCTAGGGGAAACCATATCCGGTTGACCTCTCTCGACTTGAAAACAACCGTTTAATTGCTTGCTTGTTTGGACCTTCACTAAAGTTCCACTGCTAACTAATAAGAACTCATGGAGTAGTCATCACATCTAGGACCCGGGTTGACATTAAAACACAAAACCGTTATACTACACTTTAGGAGGTGGTTACACTTGGCCATTTTCTAGAGTGACAGTAGGAGCGAGTCAAGTTTTTGGCGCCGTTGCTGGGGACGGCTAGGTTGTTGAAGAAACGTGAATTCTGTTAATTTTGCTTTTTCGTTTTAGCATTGTTTGCTTTGTCACACTTATGCCTTCACGGGTTTGCTGTTTGACTGTGTGCATGTAGTGCATGACCCGTAGCCAGTCGGGAGGTTTACTGTCGTTGGATCCAGAGCTTGAACGCACCTGTCGCCAACTTAGGAGACAATAGCGAGCTAGACTGGCTACGGAGGAGCGCATAGACGGCCACTTGAGCAGCGATTCTGAGGAAGAGTACGAGATGGAAGGAGACCATAACCCGCCACAGGGGATACCTCTCTAGGTTCCCCCAGTGAACCAGATCCTGGGGAACAATCCAATACCCCAGGCCGATGGGGTTCATCATCAACCACCGCTGCTGGGTCCCACCTTGGAGTACTACTACACTCCACGGATTGTTGATATCAGCCCTGTCATCCTCTAGCCACCCATTCCAACGAACAACTTCGAGATCAAGCCATGCTGGATTCAACTCATTACATCCTCTATCCAGTTTCATGGCTTGAAGGATGAGGAGGCAAGGGTGCATCTTTCCCGTTTTCTGCAGCTGACGAACGGTGTCCCTGATGACGCAATCCGCCTTCACCTCTTTCCCCATTCTCTGGCAGGGAATGCTAAGAGGTGGTTGGAGACCCAGCCCCCATTGTCCATGACTTCTTGGGACGATCTGGCCAACAAGTTCGTGCACAGGTATTATCCGGCATCGAAGACTACAGAGATTCAGCGAGAGATCACTCAGTTTCGCCAGGAGCCAGACGAGTCACTTCGTGATGCATGGGAGCGGTACATGGGATTTTTCTGGCAGTGTCCCCATCATGGCTTCAGTGATGCATTCACCGTGGGGAACTTCTACAATGCTCTCTCTCCGGACAGCCAGAGGGTGATTGAGTCTCTATGCCCATGAGGGGATATTCTTACTAAGACTCCACCCGAACTGAACCAGATGATCAGTACCTTGGCTGCTAGAGATCACTCCTAGGCACAGAGCACCAGAGGCAGAAATTCTTGGGATCGTGGTGTGCACGCCATGGAGGCCAACTCCGGGCTCGAGCAGCAGGTGGCCGAGTTAGTGCAGACATTGAAGCAGCCCAATAGTCTTATTCCGGGCAGAGGTCTGGGCGGACCTCTAGTAGCTCAATGTCAATGGTGTGAGAGCTTAAATCATCTGGTGGAAGACTGCCAGGCTATGCGGGAGTCTTCTACCCCCCAAGAGCAGTTGGAATTCATCGCCAATGCTCGGCGCCTTGACCCGTACAGCAATACATACAATGAGGGGTGGTACCAGCATCCCAATTTCGCTTGGAGTAGCAACACCACTAAACCACCTAGTTTCCCAGCACCAGCAGGTGGTTTTCAGCAGAGGCAGCCTTTCCAGGCTAGACAGGGGCCAGTCCCACAGCAGCAACCCTACCAGCCTAGGCAGGGGAAACCACTCCAGCAGCCTCAGCGTTAGTATGCCGAGCCAACAGCAGCTCTGGCTCCAGATAATCAGATGACGGAGCTGAAAAACATTCTAGCGGCATTCATGACTGCAGCCAGGCGAATTTCACGAGGATGGACCAAAACATAGCCTCACTGGAGACAAGCCAGAGGAACCAGGGTGCCATTTTTGCAAGATTTACCGAACCAGGTTGGTGACATAGCTCGCCAAATTAATACCCGGGCCCCGGGAACTCTACCTGCCAAAACCATCCCCAATCCACGGGAGTCGCGCCAGAAGCTAAATGCCATCACCACCAAGAGTGGCAAGTCCACATCGGCGGTTCCTGCCCAGGCTAGGGAGGAAGAGCCACTGCTTGCTTCAGCACTTCCAGCCGACGATGTAGAAGTGAGGGTGGAGAAGGAAGCCCCTGCTCCCAAGCCACAACCAGTGGTCAAGGAGCATGTACCCCAGCTTCCCTTCCCCACTCGACTACACAAAGATAAGCTGGAGACTGAGTTTGCCAAGTTTATGGCAATGTTGAAGCAGCTCAACGTCAGCATACCTTTCATGGAGGCACTGTCGAAGATGCCCAAGTACGCAAAGTTCATGAAGGATCTCCTCAGCAACAAGAAGAAACTTGGGGATCTTTCGACAGTGATGCTGAGCGAGGAGTGTTCTGCCATCTTGCAGAATAAGCTGCCCGAAAAGTGCAAAGACCCAGGGAGTTTCACTATCCCTCTTGATATTGGCAGCATGCATGTAGGGAAGTCCTTGGCGGACCTAGGCGCTAGCATAAATGTCATGCCATACAATCTGTTTAAAAAGCTAGACCTAGGTAAACTTAGCCCTGCTAGGATGAGCATTCAGTTAGCTGATCGCTCTATTGTGCATCCTAGGGGTATCATAGAGGATTTGCTTGTTAAAGTAGGCGCATTCACATATTCTGTTGATTTTTTTGTTCTGGATATAAATGAGGGTGTGGATGTGCCTTTGATTCTGGGTAGACCATTTCTTGCCACCACCAAGGCACTTATTGATGTGCATAGTGGTAAACTGATCTTGCGTGCTGGGAATGAACAGGCTACTTTTCCTGTGGCTAACCTTGATCATTGTGATATGCCTGCTGTCACACCTATGCATGCTATTTCTCACCAGATCCACGAGCCTGTCGTGTACCCCCCTGTGCATCTCGTTTTGCAGGATCCCCCTTCACGCCTTCGCCGCCACTCCCTTCAACCTCACCGCCAAACAAAAGGATCAAAGAGGAGTGGCGGTCGAAGCAGCAGGTGGCTAAACCTACACGGAAGAAAGGTGGAGACCACTATGAGTTGGTTCCACCTCCCGCACCACGACCACCCTGGCCATCCGAGTAGTCACTCGCCCGTCGGGTGCACGGCCTCAATCTGAAGCTGTACCTCAAGAGCGATGTGGATCCGCTCTTGGAGGCACCTGTCCCTGCACCCCGCTGAGTATCCACCATGGGTGTCCAGCTAAAAGACGGTAAAGAAGCGCTTGTGGGGAGGCAACCCCACCACGGTTTCCATTTATTTCTTTTGTTTTGGGTCGGATTGTAAACTGGTTTGGTTTTGGTTTGTTTTCTTTTGTTTTGTTAGATGTATTATTGGGCTGACCATTGGACCTAACATATTGTGTTTGAGTCTTCTGCTCCCTTTAGCTGTGCTTTGTCCCTGACTGGTCCCCTCTCCAGTCCTCTTCACTCCGACTGGTCCGCTTCCAGTCTCATGTAGTCCGTGCACACCGGTAACATCGTTCCCCTCATCCTTCCCTCTTCTCCATTGAGGGCAATGTCGGTCTTAAGTGTGGGGGGAATGTTTCTCTTTTGACTGCATTAGATATGTTTGTGTGCTTGGAGCCTAGTCCATTGTCCAAATTTTTAAATTTGAGGGCTCCAAGTACGTGTTTCCTTGCAAATTGCCTGCTCAGTATGCTTTGAATTGACAGTCTCTATAGTAATGTGCAACCTAGGGAGGTAGTGTAGCACTATGAAGGATGTTGAAGTATAAGATTTTTTCTATCTAGCTCTCTGTTGTGCCAGTTGACTTTGTGAATTAGTGGAGCTAGGATCGTTGAATTCATGTGATAATGGTGACTCTATTTGGATTGTGTTATGGACTCGTGTATCGAACAGGGTGCTCATGTGAAAATTGAAATGCAGTTGGTCCTCCATGTCAAAATCATCGAAATCGTAAACATGGGGTAAGCCCAATGTGTGCGGCACCGTTCATTGCACAAAATCGGGTTTTGGAAGAGATTTTAGTGATCCTTAGTGGGGTACTCCTACAAGGTGAAGCTAAGCTGTCTCTAGTACAAGTAAACCTCCCACCCGTTGAACGGTTTGCCTACTTGAGGATGTGTTTTTAAGGGCACGGATAGAGCTTCCGACCCCCCTTAATTTCATTGACCCTCCACACGAGTTGAGGAAAAGGAATTAAAAGAAGTGCTCTGGCGAGCGCCAGATGTACAAAAATTGCTCTTGCTCGACTAATAAGGGTCGACCGTGTGAAAGACTGTAGTTGGAACCCCCGCTAAGTGAATGAAAAAAAAAAAGTAAAATGAAAGTGAAAAAGGGGTTCCAACGGTGAAATGAGGTGAAAAAGCACCCCGGTACCACGAGTCCTTGATTGTGAAGGGTGTGAGTCCCTGTATCCATGAAGTGACTGTCTTACTTCCACTTCTTCTCATGATCCTGACTTGAGTCTAGTACTCGCATTGAGAGAGATAGGGAACGTCTTAGAAGACCAGTTGACCTCGTAAGCTGCTATATGATCTAGAAAATCCTCTACCGACGATCGGGGTTGTTTGTTGCTATAGAGGTCTGGAGAGTTGCATTGGTTTGAGTTAGGTTTGCTTGGGGACAAGCAAACGGTTAAGTGTGGGGGAGTTTGATAGACCGTTAATTGCACATGTTTTTACCCCTATTCTTGAGTCGTTTGAGATGTCGATTCTCGTGTTTTAGGCCGATTTCACGCTAGGTTGTTCTTGTTTATGATATTTCAGGTCCTAGTACGTGAATGAAGGTTTGGGAACGAGTTAGGGGTCGATTGGACGAAGATTGGACATGTGGCATGAAGCTTATGGAGCCACACGGGCACGCCTAAAACCTACACGGTTGTGTGGCCTGGCTGTGTGGCACCAAATTGCACGGGCAAAGTCACACGGGCCGTGTAGGGGACCCCATGTGGCCGTGTGGAAATTCCAGGGAACTCACACGGGCATCCTGGAATTCCACACGGCCGTGTGGGTAGTGGCCGTGTAGGAAGCCTGAGTCACTTATCAAAACGCCGCGGTTTGCACATCTCACACGGGCAGCTGGGGATGTCACACGGCCGTGTGGCCTGGCCGTGTGAGTCAGGATTTTCTGGGTTTTAACCCAATTTTCAGCAAAGGAGAAAGGGTTCCGAGTTTTAGAGAGAAAAAGTGCGACCTAGAGAGAGAAAGTGACAAACCTGACTCTGCAAGTGTCATAGATCGATCTCCATCACCATTGGAGCCCGACTTGAGCTTGGAGAAGACCTGATTGAGTGCCAGAAGCAGATTATCATCCTTCACAGTATGGTTTCTGCATCTGAGCTAGATTTCCCATCTCTCTCTATAGAGTAGTTTTCTTATTCACCTGGGTATGAAGAACCCTAGATTTGTATGTTAGGTCTGATTGTATGAACCCAAGTATAGATTCATTGATATGATTATGTCCAATTGAGGTTTGAACTAATCAAATTCCTGTTATTTCTGCTTTGACCTAGAAAGAGAATATCTGCCTAGGTTGATAGAGCACCCTTAATTGAAGGTAGTGAATTGGCGATTTTAGTCGAGGAGCCAATTCATTATTCTGTACCGAATTTGCTTCGGTAGTGGAGGTTTGGTTCGTTAGGGCCTCAATCTGTTTACTCCGGTGGAGGTTAGTCGCCCGCTGGGGACTCAGATTGAGAGGGTCTGGAGACCTTTAGTCGAGACTTCAGACTGTTTAAGAACCTCCCGCAGTATAACTATCATTGAAATTGAACTTGGTAAATTACAATCCTGCTTAATTGCAGTCTAGGGGGAACCATATCCGGGTGAATTGAAAACAACCGTTTAATTGCTTGCTTGTTTGCTTATTTGGACCTTCACTAAAGTTCCACTGCTAACTAATAAGAACTCACGGAGTAGTTATCACATCTAGGACCCGGGTTGACATTAAAACACAAACCCGCTATACTACGCTTTAGGAGGTGGTTACACTTGGCCATTTTCTAGAGTGACAGTAGGAGCGAGTTAGCTTCTTTCCAAAATAAATTTTTGGTTTCATATATCATTTTCAGATAGGACGGATTTACACTAGACAAAACTGATATTGTT